ACGATTTTAGATAAAAATGTTTCACTTTTAATTAACTCCTCGACCGATTCACTAAAGAGAACTTTAAGTTCACGAAGGTTTTCGTCGGTGAAACGTATCTTTAAATTAATAATTTACAAGAGAAAACTCAGCACGCTGCAAAACGCGATACTACTCTGTCGAAGACATTGATTGAACTTGTTTCTGAAGAAGGTTGCAACATGGTATCCGAAACGTCAAACATTTTTTCAAAAAACGCACGGCTTAACCCGAAAGTTTCTAGTTCTAGGTCTAGTTTCAGTTCTAGTGTTAGTGCTAGTGTTAGTTCTAGTTTAAGAGATATTTTTGGTATGTTAAAACTGGATTAAATTATCTATAAGATGTTTTTAAATCAGTTCGATATCTTAACTACTTTTTGAGATATGATTTTTTCAAATTTGGTATTAGTAGCAGAGATGGGTTAAAAATATCATAACTATTTTATTTTTATCAACTTATTATTATGTATTAAAAAAATTGTTTAAATATTATAGATAGTGTATCAGTGACATAAATATCTTAGAAGATTAAATTTTACTTCACTTGACTTTGAGAGTTAAGCTTCATTTTTAATAATTTGTTTTAATACTCTTCTTAAAATTTTTCCACTTGAATTTTTTGGTAGTTTATCAACAAATCTAACTCCACCATGTAAGTGATTATGATGAGATAAACGACCTTAAAACAACAGTTTATTTTGATTATATTTATATTTATATTATAATGATTTTATTTCTTACTTGCAACAAATTTTTTAACTTCATCTTCACTTAATTCAACGTTGGGTTGTCTAACAATAAATGCTAAAGGAAGTTCCCCGTCTCTTTCATCTGGCAACCCAACAACCGCAACTTCCAAAACTTTACAATGTTGTTGTAATAAACTTTCTATTTCAGCGGGAGCAACTTGAAATGATTTATATTTAATTAATTCTTTTAGTCTATCAACGATATAAAAGTATGCATCATCATCGTAATATCCTAAATCGCCCGTTTTAAACCATCCCTTATTGTTAAAACTTTTTTTCGTTGCTTCTGGGTTGTTGTAATAACCCTTCATGACCATTTCACCTTTAACACAAATTTCTCCGATTTCATAAGGTCCTAAGATTTTCTCATTTTCGGGGTTTGTTATTATTACGGATATTCCTGGAGTTACTTTTCCTATAGAACCTGGTTTTTCCGATTTAAAGGGGACTGTAAGTACTCCAAATGTGCATTCGGTTAAACCATAAATTTGTCTTATTGATGAAACTCCTAATCTAAAATTAATAAATACTAAATAATTTCGTTTTAAAAAAAAAATTTAAATACAAACTTTGTTTTTAACATATTTTCTAAATTTTCACTTATTGATGAAGCCCCAGCTAAAATATATTTTAAACATTTGATGTTATAATTTTCTAAAATTAAACTTTTTGATAATATAACCATAAGTGTAGGTACTAAATTGATTGATTTTATTTGATACTTTTGTATACAACTTAAAAACAAACTTTCTTTAAATTTTGATAAAACGATTATTGAGTTTCCAAGGGATAAAATGAAAAGAGAAGAAATTAAACCGAACGCGTGATTAATGGGTAATTGTAATAAATTTGTTGGATTGTCAAAATTTTTTCTGTAGATTCTTGAATCCCTAAAATAATTTAAAATTAAATCTTATAAATGTAATTAAAAATAAATACATACAGACCATGATTTATGCCCATCAAAATATTTTTGTGTGTGAGCATAACTCCTTTTGGAAGACCGCTTGTTCCGGAAGAAAATAAAATAACAGCAGTGTGATTTTTTATATTAACATGAACCGGTTGAAACTCATCAACATTACCCTCATAAGAATCATTATTTATAAAAGATTTTAATGTTACAATTCCCGGTTTTGCTTCGTCTGAATCAATAACCACAATCGTTTTTATGAACCCATTTGTGTTTTGGAGATTCAAAAACGATTCCGAATTTAGTTTTGTGCAAAAAATTAATTTTGGTTTTATAATTGTTAAAACATGTTGGAGTTCATCTAAAATAAATTGTTTATATTTTCATTATTATTTAAAAAATGAAGTGATATACGTATATTGTAATTTTGGCTAATTGGAGCTATTGAAATTCCTAAATAAAAAGCAGCTAAAAGTGGGCAGAAGAAATATATATTATTTTCAGCACAAATACCCAAAACATCTTCTTGATTGTAACCAAGGTTTTTAATCCTTGCCGATAAATTACAAGCGATATTTTGCAATGTTTGATAACTTAATTGATCCCCAGTTACTCCATCTATCTATATAAAGTACATTTTGCATAATTGTTATTTTCAAACGATATTTATTAATTTTAGTAAGTACAATATTTAATTAATACTTACTAAAGCAATTTGATTTTCAAACTTATTCAAGTAATCATATAAAACTCTTCCCAAAGATTTATCACCAATAGGTTCACTTAATTCCAACCCACTTAATATTCTATCTCTCATTATCACTATTATTATAATTTAATTTAAGCGGGTCTTATTGCAACAGTAATCTCACTTTCACTGACATGAGTACAACTTGGCAAATTTATCTTGACCGGTTCGTTGTGTACAAGAAAGAGTGCGATGGTGTAGCGCATCACGCACTCTAATTATTTTTTATATCAACATAATGTAATATCAATATTGGTTCTTATATCAACATAATGTGCTTTTTCCATGACAATTTTGTTATAGATATAAATAAATAAATAAAAACAGATTGGATAGACATAACTATTTCATTCATAACGTTAATAAGAATAATAAATAACTAAAAAATATTAAAAATCTAAAAATATCTATATTTTGTATTCATGAAATAGTCTATCTATATTGGGTAAATTCTTATAGGGCCATTGATTTTAAGTCGAATAACAACAAAAATATTTCCTGTACTCAAAAATGTATGCACATTTGGTTTTCTACTTCTATGGCGCATTTAAAGCCGTTCTCAGAGAGGGGATAAAAGTTTAAGTTATACCCTCAAAAAGTCAGTTAACACATGCCTATCTAGTGATGGGCATAATCGAATGACCATAATCGATTAACCGATTATACACGATCATTCGAGATATCGATTATTCTAAAAAATAATAGATTGTAAAATAATCGAATGAAATAATCGATTATAATAAAATAATCGAATGAAATAATAATAACAATAATAATAATAATAATAGTACTTTATTGACCGCAACAACCAACATAAAAAAGTTAAACAATAATATAAAGAAAAAAAAATAATAAATGAAAAATTCATTCTATATGTGAAACTAATTATTTTTCCATTCGATTATTTTTCTATTCGATTATTTTTTCATTCGATGTTGAAAGTTAAAATAAAATTCTATATAAAATATTGGCATGCTACTTCAGGGCTGTTTTGGGAATTTAACGACTTCTCTGAATATCTCATTTTAATATTTAAATTAAATAGAGCCTCAAATGATTAGTAGAATCCACGTTTTGTGTTTGTATTCATTACTAGTTGTTTAATATGAAGTAAAAAAAGAATGATTATTTGATTCCCCATGATAATATGGAGGATGGTCAGTGAAAATACATATTTCAAAGAAAATATTTATTGCACTACATATTACTATTTAAAAACATGATTTCGTTGATTATATTGCTGCTCAACCTACTCCTTCTGTCCTTTGTTAACTCGCCTGCTTTTGAGAATACCCTCTCAGATGGCACTGATGTTGATGGCACGCAGAGGTACTTATTTGCAAGTTTATATAGTTCCGGGAACATCTCCTTCTTGGACTCCCAAAAGTCTAAAGGATTTAGCTTCCTATCTACCAATGGTAGGTCTAGGTACTGCTTCATTTGTGCTTTGGCAGAATGTGTAGGTGTGGACGCGCTGAATCCCTGCTTAGCCTTTATATCAAAATGCTCCCAAAGTAAACTAGCTTGGTTGTTCTCGCTGGAATCTAAAATTTATATTCAAATATACTCTATTATCGAACTATTGCAATAACAAACAAAAAAAAACTTTTAACGAAAATGAGTTAACAGTAATAATTTACCTGCACGCTCCTGAGTACAAGATATTTCAGAATTTGGAGATTCTAGATGCTGAGTGATAGTCACAATCAAATCCTCTACGTCTTCTGTAATTCATTTAAGGGTTTGATTACCATTTATTACCTTATCGAAGGCCAATATTTTTAATCTGGGGTCCAATAATGTCGCCTTTGCACAAATTTCATTCAACATAACCTAAACTCCTCAATAGGATATCATGAAAATTAGTTTGCAATATCTTTCCCGTGGAAGTTAATGGTTGTGCATTCTCAACAGCGTGTTGGACACCACGAATTAAGGGGATGATAATGGAAAACGTTATATATTTTTCTCCCGACAACTCGGAAGTCATAGCTTCAATAGGTTTTAAAATACATATGCAGTCTTTAATTAGTGCCCAGTCTTCCGATCACAAAAGTGAAGGTGATCCGGGAAAATTGGACATTGCTGCTGAAAACGGAATTTTTAATTCCTCTAATCTTTGCATCATCGCTAAGCAAGAATTCCATCTTGTTGAAATGTCCTGTTTCACTTTTAGCAGAGGAAGTTTCATTAGTTCCTGCATTTTGGCCAGTTCACCAGATGCTACAGTGCTTCTTTTAAAGTGCCTCACAATATTTTTGCATTTCTCGAACAATTGCTGTAGATCTGCATGTATGTTTGAGGGCGTCCATGGTACATAGGTTCAGCGTATGTCCTATGCAGGGTTGGTGAGTCTTATTGAGATGAACAGTGATAGCGTTCCTCATATTTGAAGCGTTATCTGTTACAATACAGTGAACTTTTTCAAAGATATCCCAACTTTCAAAACTTCGCGAAGTGCGCTGGCAACATTTCCTGCTGAATGACGATCAACCAATTGTTTTGTTTCCAGTAGGTAACTGTTCAATTGGTTTCCGGTTATGTAATGAGTAGTAACTGCCAAAAATGCTTTCGTAGATGATGATGTCCATATATCTGTTGTTATAGACAAATTTGACGACACATTTAACTCATTTTTAACCTTACTCAACGTCGCTGTATATATATTTGGTATCAGGGGAGTTGTAATTTTTTTTCGACTTGGTAAGTCATAATGCGGATTAAGTTTATTTGTATATTTTATGAACCCCTTATTTTCAACAATGGATAAGGGCTGAAAATCAGAAACTATCACTTCAACTAAACTTTGATCTATTTCGGTTTGCTCATTTTCTGTAATATTATATGTTTGTGTTTTTCCGTAAAGAGCAAGTTGACGTTTACGTTTGGAAGGCGATGGGTGTATTATAGAATGTTGTGAGGAAGTTTCAGTTGTAGAAGTTGACGGGAGTGTACCTCGAACTTCTTCGCATGATGTATCTTCAGTAGGTTTAGATTTTTGTAATAATAAGGCTGGGTGCTTTCGTTTTAGGTGTTCACTTAAATTTATAGTATTGATAAAGAATTTAAATTCTCGCTTACATTCACTACACATTGAGACATCTCCTCTTCGTACAAAATGATCCCAGACGAAGTATCTCTTTGCAGTTTGTCGCGGCATATCATTAAATCTTAATAAACACAGAACAATACACAAACACTTGACCTGGTTGTAAAACAACACAACAATACTGCCGAGTAGTTTGTGCTCGAGTGAACGACGAACGTAGTTCGGGTATAGGTGTGCACGTGTATATACATTGAGTTTCAACGAATTTGGTAAATCCCCGAAACAGCCCTCTGAAGTAGTAATACCGTAAATATTTTAGATAGAATTTTATTTCAACTTTCATCATCGAATGGAAAAACAATCGATGATGTTATAATCGACTATTTCATTCGATTATTTTATAATTGATTATTTTATTCGATTGTAAAATAATCGATTAATAATCAAATAATCGATTAATAATCGATTATTCATATATCTCGATTATGCCCATCACTATGCCTATCGCGAAAAGAGTATCTTCATGTTCAGTGTAAAGAAAAGTGTTACGCGAAACCGGCCAAAATATCTATTGTTAGTAATAGCTGTTTGTATATTTTAAGAAAAAATAGTCTCAAAGTGATTTTTTTGCTTAATATTTAATGGTGGCCAACCAATATTAAAATAATTGCTTTTTTTAGTTCTCGAGGAAAGTGGTCGAGAATTAGCATATATAAGTTGCCAATTAAACAGTTTTATTAAATTGTCGAGTTCAAGTAAAGTCCAATGCACCTCGCCATCGGAAGTGTTAAGTTACACTTTGGCCATCGGCGCGTGGTTACAATAACGCTGAGCAATAGAATTGTTGGCGCTAATGAAATACATAAGTAGTCAATAATTCTAAGCGAAAAGCATTTGTAGCCACATAGTTTTAACGAACACAATAGACATATAATAACTAAAATAAATCAGTATTCTTAAACAAAAAAGTGTTTAAATATTGTCGGAAATAAATATATACACCCTAACCACCTGGAGGTTAGGGTACACTTTAACAAAAGATAATCAAGAACGTAGGTTAAATTTAGATATAACTAATAAGAAATTTTTTAAGTTAGATAAAATTGAAAACGAATTTTCGATTGTTAGGTTAATATTTAATAAAGAACAAAATTAATTATTATATGTATATTAATTTATATATATGTATTATATATATATATTATTTTATATATTAATTTATGTATATAATTTATATTAATTATATATTAATTATATGTATGAATCAGTGCTGACTACACGTGCTTTTACTGTCAAATCCCGATTGGGTAATTTTTCGGTATTTTTTGGTACTTTTAATTTTGGTTTTTTGACTTACACGGTGCTAGTGAGTGTGCTGATTAACGGGTTTAATTCGTTATTCATCAGTATTAAGGTACTTTCATTTTAAAAAGATCTATCTTTCTGTTCCGACGCGAGTTTTCTTCGTGACCAGTTTTTTGCGCCTNTGCATAAAACAAAAGGCCACTGGACATACAATGAAAAACAATTTTCACTTAGTTTATATTATAAAGCACCAAATGCGTATAAACATTTATTAAGACAAAAAATAGTTTTACCGTCTGTATCAACAATTAAACGTTGGATAGGAATCTCGATTTTTCTACCTGGGTTTAATAAACCTTATTTAAATTTCTTATATCCTTCGCCGTTTCAGAATTATCGGTAAAACTGGCCGCCCAAATATTTAGCAAAAGCGTTGCGTCGGCATTAAAAACATGTATAGCAACAGGCGAGCTAAAAATGCATCTTTTGCATATAACTTCATATTTTGCACTTTTATCGTATATAAATTTTGTTATCCATATAGTTCGATATAATCGCATGTAATTTCATAGGAGCGCATGTTTTGTCCATATTTCAATATAACAGCAGTTAATTTGATACTAGCGATATCTAATAGTAGACAGAGAGTTAAAAGTGCGGCAGTGGTCTGCTTTACAACATAACTTTAATTGTGTGGTTCCCAGCCGATTTAAGTAACATAACCTCTAAATCATTTCACACCACACAAGTGTTCAAGTGATTTATACGTTAAGTTAG